CTTGGATGTACAAACAAGAGCATCTCAAGCTAGCTGGATGGAGTTACATTACCTCTGTATTTGGCTCCAGTGTGATTGCTATCGGAATATTATGCCATAAGCGTTAGAATGGCATGTACCTGTTCCATCATCCATCTTCAGTGGTGGATGTTTGTCTGATGGGCTCACATTCTTAATCTGACATTTAAAAGTGACTCATGTCCCAGATAAGGTTGGACACCCTATATCTAATTCCTCATCTCCAGATCACGCCCAGACTCTGGCCAAATTTTAAGAATCTTGCTGAGTAACAGCTCAGATTATGGCCTTTCCTATTCATCTTCACAAATAAAACCTGCATCCAAGCTCCAGTGACCTTGACTCTGCAACATCCTTTTCTAACAATTCAGTTTCTCGCTGGTCATGCTCAACTAGAATGCAGCTGCAGAAATTACTCTCTAGCTTGTACCTTAGGCCAGATCATTCCTGTCTCTTAGTATCTCCTCTGGTTTCTTTCCTGCATCATATCAAACAGAAGCTTAATTGTCTTTACTTGCATGGCCTGCAATGACCTATTCCCACCTTTTTTTCCTCTAGTATTCTCCAGTGACATACCAACTCATCCTTCCTATCTGCTGGTGTCTATGTTTAAGCACGTACGTTCCCTTTTGAGATGTCTTTGTCCTTTCCTCAGAAGTATCCCATTAAACTTCCCTCAAACTCCCTTCGGATTCTCTTTCAAATTCTTCCTTAACCTTTTCCTTTGCTGGGCTGTCTACAGACTCCTAGTCAACAGTAAAACATTTAGAGTGCTGAGACCACAATTTTCCTTGCCGATCAGTTTTGTCTGGTTGCTACTTTGGATTTGCAATCTGTACCCAGTTGCTATTGCTTGTATTAGATTGTAAGCTCCTGCAGTCAGGCCCTTCTTTGAATTCTGTGTTTGTCCAATACCCAGCACAATGGGGCTGTTTCACAGTTTGAGCAGCAAGGGTCTGTGGTGGTATTAGCAAAACCCATGTAATAATAGTAATAAAATAATGAGAAGTTAGAACATGACATCACGTGCAATATGAGTTCCTCTCCTCCCTTCCCCCTCTTCTGTCAGATTCACAATATTTCAATTTTTTTGTACAACAGAAGACAGTAAACGAGGAGAGTTTAGAATAAAGTATAGTAGCTGGTGTTTCAGCTGCTGAAGTGTTTCCCTGTGATCCAGTCAGTAATTATGACATTTCCAGCAGTTTTGGTAGGGAAGCCCCTATGGGCACCTCTGTATGTCCCCCCAAGGAAAAACCAACATGTGGCAGCCAGGCTAGGCTGAAGGAAGGTCACGATCAAGGTTATGAACCTCTTTCATGCAAAAGTAGAGGACTCCAGTCTCCCAGGCTTGCTGCCAACGTATCACCTTCTAGTTTTGCTCAAATGATCTTGAAAAGGAACCTAAAAAGGGCTGAAGGGGCAAAAGAAGAATGTTGAAATGACATAGTTTCATCTTCATGCAGTTTAGTACTAATTTTGTCCTTTGTCTTTAAGCTGCCTTTTAAGTGCTGTTTGTCTCTGTGGGAAGCAAATGGGTCACGTTGTTCTGTGTTTCTACTGTAATACGCTGCCTGCTATTTTTCTCTTAGATTATTTGTGTAATCTTTTTTGTGCAATCTGTTTGTTCTTGAGTCTTGCAAGCTTTGCCTTTGCTACTTCTTTCCCAATAAGCAGTGCAACTTGTTCTGTATTCACTCATGGGTATTCTGCACACAACGGACTGGGTTATTTCAACCAGTGTGAAAATATTAAAATGGGGAACATGTGTGAGTACTTAATTGTGGTGAGTCCAACCACAAATACCTTCACCGTTGGTAATTGGCACATAGGAAAAACAGACCTTTGTTTTGTTTTTATCAGACATAATGATAGATACATTGTTTTTAGTGGGGTTTTTCTGGTTTTCTAAGGAAATGAGGCTTGTGCAATCCCACCGCCTGTGTGCATGTGCCTGTCTGTCTGTCAGTTCCTCCCTCACCAATAATACTTGAAACTAATAGCCATTTTTAACCAAGTTTGAGTGAGGCACAGGAGTCGGGGGAAATGATCTGGTTTTACACAAGTCTTATAGATTGCACCAAAATCTGCAGAAAGTACAACCTCTAACAGCCACATCACTGCAAGCCAGATCAGTTGTGTATTTGCCCACATGCCTTTACGTCAATCCAGCCACCTAACTGCAATCTCCCAAATTTTAATATTTTGGCTTACTTGCTTTTGCCCTTTGGGCAAGTGACTCAGTTGGGGGTGGTGCTAGGCACAGAGCTTGTGTTTTGATTCTTACTGGAGTGGCCATGTCTCATGAAGAACATGGTTTGCTCCGGGCCACAATGTTACAATTTGCATATAAACTTATGAAAAAGGAAGCTTTCTTTAAGTTTTCCTGTGTGAGAGTTTACAGGAACATTTCTGTCTGTACATAATAGCAGAATCTGGACTTCTCATAAATGTAGATGGGTTAAGTCTGTCATTGGGAATCTTCTGTGGAAAAACCCAGAAAGAAGAAGGAAAGCCTAAGGAAATACCAACTTCAAGGAGAGAAGTTGGCCAAGACTTCTGTTGTGCTGCTCTTTGGTTTGTACCTAGCCACCAGCAGTGTAGTTGGGGAATGCCTTGGAGCTATGCAGAAATGTAACCTCAGGGCACCTTTGGGAGGCAGAGAAGATGTCTTTATGCCCTTTGCTCAAAGAGAGGATGGAGGTACAAAGGCAGCAAGTGATTTGCCAGAGATTACAAGAGTATATATTTGAGTTAGAAAACACACCCAGGTCTCCTGACACGAGACGTACAGTCAGAAGTATGGTCTATATATAGACAGCTTTTGCAGCAAATGAAGAGGTGTCTTGGTCAAAGAGGAAGATAAGTGTTGAAGTACACAAGAGCTGGCTAAATTATAAATGTGAGAAGAAGAGAAGGGGAAGAAAAGATTCCCACATGTTCTACTCAGATGTTAACAAAGAAAGCTGAGAAGTGTTTGCATAGACACTACATTATTCCATGTCCAAATGCCTCATAAAAATAATACCGGATGATCACAGAATGGCACACCAGGGAAAATAAATTCTTCAGTGGAATATTCCCTCTGGAAAAACACTGTGTAAAGTAATACACTAATGGCTTTCAATTTCATGTTTTATATATAAAGATATTAACTACTCCCCAGATGTCTCTTTATATTACAGCCCAGCTACTCGAGCAGTTTGGAGAAGGTCCCGGAGCATGCTTGGTCTTGTCTGCACACAGGACCAAGCAGTGCTCTCCTGTTGTACATGCAGCTCCTGTGGTATATACAGTAGGTTTCTTCTGCCTCCTTCCCAGAGCAGTACTTCTCCTGTGGTTCTCTCCAGTGGGTTGTTTTTTTTTTTTTTCATCTTCCTAGTCCTCGTGTTTTTTTCCATTCTTCCCCCATGCTCTCTAGCCTCACCACCATGCTGGGAACCCTGCATTCCTTCTCTGATCATAAAAAAGGAGTCCTCACAAGAAACATTATGGTGGAGTGATCAAAGCACAAAACTGTCATAATAACAAATGCTAAAGAAAGTTAAGTATAAAAACGACATTATTAATTCCTTCTTTTTTTTTGGCGGGGGGGGGGGAGGGGTTGGGTGGGGAGGGGGTGTCGTTCCAGGCTTGTCTGGAATTACCTGGTGACTTCTCTCTCCACATTGCTCAGACTAAGAGCTGTTTGAGTCAGGAACTGTCCTGTATAATGCCAACTACAGTTACGCTGTTGTAGCAAATCAGAATGATCTGGGTTCTTTTCCAATCTTTCCTAATATATGTCAAATGTGTATATATATCCTCCTGCCACATTCTGAGGAATCCAAAAGTAGCTTACTTGCTTTGTTGCCTGGATGTAGCCCATTGGAGTCTGGGACAGGTAGAGAAGAAGTCATGATTGCAGGGACATTGATGTTGTACTGCACAAGGACAGCAGCCCTGCTGTTGGGATGACGAGGCATGTCCAAGTCCTTGTAGGAAGTTTTGCAGCAGCTGTTTGAAAAGGTCAATAAACACACACCATGGTATGAAAAAACATCATGTCATTGCTGGGTTATTTAATTATTATTAGAGACATATTATTTGTATATGCATTTATGAGTAATTCTATTTTGAACGCTGTTCCTGCTTGCACCTCAGCTTTTGCATCCCTTCCCTTCCTTCCCACCCGTAGTGACCATACCACTGCACCCATAAAGCCTTGAAGAAGTGCAGGGTCTCAAGACTAGGGACACCACAATTATTCTCAAACTGAAGAATACCGTTTTGAGTGGGACAAAGCTCCAGACTATATTTGCTCTGTTGCCTTTGGTGAGGCTCTCCTGCATAGGGCGGATGAGGGTTGTCCTAAATACCTTCCATGACTTTGTGCATGAATTATTTAAAATATCAACTAGATCAGCATCAGCACATTAGTAAGAGAACAAGGATTGATACTGCTATACTGCATAAGAAGCGAAATCCTTTACCAGTATAATTGTCTTCATGGAGGGAATTGGTTCGAGCTGTACAAACAAAAACTACTCTTTAAATGGTAACAGTTGCACTGCTACCAGGCAGCTTTAAGAGGAATCCTACCACAAAGGCCTTTCATGTGGAGGCAAGGCTTTAGGCACAGGTTTATCCCATATAACTGAGCAGCTGAGGATGACTATGTAGGTGGGTCAGATGATAGCTGAGTGGTTTGCACCTGGGGCTCAGAATCCTTACAATGACCACTGGCTAGCAGCAGCAGCACTGTGTATCTGTTCAGTCTCAGTAGCCAGTTTCAAACCTTTGTAGATCTTTCCATATGGGCCAGCACCGGAGTTCCTTCTGGTGGTGTTGGATCTTTGCCAGCAGTGCCACAAATTGCTCTCATGTTGACTGAGCTGCCACGTCCTCCTTGCCCACTGTGCAGCGCAGGCTTGTGGGAGGACCTTCTCTGCCCCTGAGACCAGGAGCTTGCTTTGACTTTTGTCCTTTCCCTTTGGTGACAGGCCGCTGTGCCCGCTGTGGGGAGAATGTTGTTGGGGAAGGCACGGGCTGCACGGCCATGGACCAGGTCTTCCATGTGGAGTGCTTCACCTGCATGATGTGCAACAACAAGCTGAGGGGACAACCTTTCTACGCAGTGGAGAAGAAAGCCTACTGTGAGCCCTGCTATATTGTAAGTACCCACTCTTGTTTGCACCCTGATTTTAATGCACAGACTTTAGAAACATTGATTTATTTCGTTGCTCCACAGTTGCCTTAGAGTTAAAACCTGACAATCCCATAGCAGTACCATGGGCACCAGCTTTTCTGTGGTCTTCAGAACTCTGATCTTTTCAGCTTCCTGGCTGAACTTTGTTTCTTGGTCTAATCTATCTCTGAAATGAAGTGGCCAAATCAGGGGAAAGAGGTGCTTTTTTTGATTATTTCAGCTCTGTAAGGAGCAGACTATGTAGTGATTTTTAAGCAGTAGTGTTATTCTCAGAAGCTTTCTGTTTTGAGAAACCTGATACCAAAATGCTTACAGACTGTGCTGCCTGCTAAGATTAAGGAGGTGGGATGCAGGATAGCACTAAAACTTCTAAAAGCAAGACCTTTACATTGCTTGATGCAAGTCCTTCTACTGAACCTAAGGGTCTTTGAATTGGATATCTTTTGAAGCTTACTTTGCCCTAAAATTTCATTTCATGCCTCCAACAAGCTCTTAAAGAAAACAATTAACAGTTGCTCTGAGGAGGTACACCTTTTAAGAGGCTCCCATAAGAGCTAGTTGGAACCAGTTGCAGTTGCAAATTAAAGAAACATCAGATAACGTGCCTGCGGCCTTACCTTGGTGTGACCTTAGCATACAGTATATAGGGATAATCCTTGTAATTTAGAATAAGACAAGCACCAAAACATTCTAAAAAGCATTGATAGGTCTTTCTCTAAACCTCCAATTCAGAGTTCTTTTTATAAACACTGGACAAGAGATCCTTCCAGAATTGGATTTACACTTCTGAAAGTAAAAATTGATGGTTTTCTTGACATTTCTGGCATTCCAATTATAATTAAAGCAATAATATGTATTTCTGAAAATGCCAGCAATATCCCATTATTCCTTCTGGTTTTGCAGAGCCTTTGCAGTGGGATTATTGCTGAATATAAAAAGGGGGAGGATTCTGTCTTATTTACAATGGCAGTGATATATGGGCCTTGTTAACTGGCTTTTAAAACCTAAATGATCGAATATGTACCTTTAAAACCATTTCCATTTTTGTTTTCACTAAAATGATTGCACCGTAAAAATTTAAGATTAATTTTGTGGCAAGTCTGACCGTGTGCAAAGCACTGGAGACTTCAGGAAGGTGCATTCATTGGAGCAACGTTATGTAACTGGAATTAAACATTTCATTGACTTCAAGCTGGAACTGACTTCATCTTCTTGCAGATTGATGCTTTCTTTTCCTCTTTTTTAAATCAAGCATGCATTCTACACCACTCATCTTCTTTAGTTTGAGAAAACATCTGCATTAGCCACTGTAGTAATGGTTTAAGATTATTTAATCCCATTACTTATACACTTCATTAGCCTGAGTGAATTGTTGGCAAGGGTTCAGTAAACTTCCTACATTGGGAGATAAAAGGATAAAAAAGGAAGGGGAGAAGGATTCTGTTCCTCATTTTCTTTCAAATTTATCTTCTATCTATTTAAGGGATAAAGGAATGATAATTGCCTGGTTGCATCTGCATTTGTGAGTTCTGTGATATGGCTTTGCAGCTCTGAGTACAGAGTAAACTTTTAATAGCTTTCTTTTATATAACCAGGAGGGGCCTTTAAATGTTTATCCATGCTTTCCACAAAAACCTGGTTATGGACTTAACCCAAAACATGTCTGGGTCCATCTACTGCTGCACATGCAGGGGAAAGGATGGCAATGCTGATGAGGCTACTTATGTGTAGCTGGACGGCTGGTAACGTGAGTGGGAAATGGAAAGCACGAATCTGGCAATCTTATGCATCAAAGGAAAAAAAAAAAGAAAAAAAAAAAAAAAAACACCCAAGCACATACTAAACTCTTCGATGTGGAGGAAACAAGTATTGGGAGCCTAAGTCTCAATACCTTTCAGAAAGCTCAGGACTCTGCATTGCTGAAAGCCAGATCTACAAGGGATCTAGGCACCTGCCATGTTATTGGGTTTAGGCCTGAGGAATTTGTGTTGTAGAGCATATGTATCATTGATTTTTTTTTTTTTAATGAAATGAGGTCTGCATTGGCTTCAGTAGGATGATGAGTGCTTAAGTACACTGAGGGCCTGAGCTAGGCTTGCAAGTTGTTCTTGCAAATGGATTGGGGGCCCTTAAATTGCTGAGGCACAAGCTGAATGCTTTTGACTTTAGATGTGTGATGCGGTCATACTGAAGTCAATGAGAGTTAATGACCTGCTTAAAATCTAGCCTGTACTTAAGGATTTTGCTGAATTGTGGTCTCTGATTTTTTTTTTTTTTTTTTTTTGGAGCTTCCCCAAGTCCCATTATCAGAAAGTAACTTGGACACTTGGAGCCCTAGTTCTGTAGGAAATCAATGGTTCTGAAGAACACAAACTCAGATGCCTGCGGACCTGACTTCTAATGAAAAGGGGAGCCTCTGTGACTAGCACAAGATTGCACAGCTAATCCATGGCTGTGGCCAGCTGAGAAAACAGGATTCTCAGCTGGTATAAATCTGAGTAATTCAATGAAGCTTGTTTACTGTTCTACCTAATTCATACTGATTTCTAGCACACATCCCTTGTTCCCCAAGTCCAAAACTCTTGACCTATTATGCAAGCTATTAGGCCAAGCTGCTTCATTTATATATAGAAAACAAACTGTAATATTTGCCTGGTCATGATATATGAATTCATTAATTCTTTGATTTTCTTTTTTTTAAATAATTCCCTTGTGTGACTTGTGGCCTTATGCACATAAAAACTATGTGCAAAAATAAAAATACACGTTTTTCAACAGTTAGAATTGGCTAATCTTCTCAGTTTATTATATGACTCTTCTTAGTTGTGGTGGAGTGAAGCCATAATTAAGATTGCTGCGAAGAGCTGTATTTAATTACTGGTTAGTCAATACCAAGCCTAAATAGCCTACAGAAGGGTTGTTGGTTTTTTGTTTTGTTTTTGTTTCTGGCATTATTTATCAGTGACACAGTTAAGATGAAATTCCCCAGAAGTCTGAATTAACATCTCAGGACATCAATCACCTGTTTAAAAAGAAGTATTTTTCCTAATGGGAATTTGAATGCCAGAGTTAATTTCTTTCACACAAAAATCCCCCCATCCAAAAGCCAGTCACTATCATTTCCTGTTACTTCTTATGAATGCAGTGAGTTCTGTTGCCAATGTGTTTGCTGGTTTTGCTCTGCATCCAAGGATTCTTTCATTATTGATCTTATTTCTAAAAGAGTACCAGTCTTCTCCATTAAGACACTTCTGCTGAACTAAAAGCAACTGTAAAAAATAAAGTGTTAATAGGAGACAGATGTCTCCTAGTCATTATGACAGTCCAGTAACATCTGAAATATCATGATAGGGTTTCCAGCATAACCAGTGTACTGCTGTACACGGGATGAATGCTGTGTCTGCAGTATGTTATCAGTATACTTTTCCCCTCCCTTACAGGACAAATTACTGACAAAACATTTGGTTTGCTTCCTCTAAGTAGTTGAAGAGATTTTAGCTCTGGACTCAGTGCAGAGAAAAGGTTAATAGTAATATCAGTGGAACCGTTGTTATAAAAGATTGAAGAGCAAGATGTTAGAGCAGTGCCAGCTGTCTGCTTTCCAAATACCGTATTATCCTAAGGACTGAACACAAGGTTAACCAGACACGCTGGTCTGGCAAGAGTGATGCTGCTGTTTTGTGAATGGGATGTTCTTTGATGTCCTGATGACTTTCTCCAGGATGTGGAAATTTTCCTCCATTCTTTATCCCCTTTCCTGGCAGTCTGGTGGTTGGCAGTTGGAGATAAGCTCTCCGAGGTTGAGGGCTGAGAGGTGCTGAGCACCTGCAGTTAGCACAGAAAGCAGCAAGATCTTGCAGATGCTCTTGGCTCCTGAAGGTTTCCTCTGCTGTGTCCAAGTCAATGTGACCCACTGCTGGGCCTTGAGGGAAGAACCATGGTGCGATGGAGCAGGGGACAGGAAAGCAGAAATAACTAACCATGCAAAGCAGAAATAGCCAGGGTCAGATGACAGAGTTCAGAGAACTGGTGGGCTAGAAATGATGAGCAATTGAAGGAGAGAGAAGAAACTGTCTCATGTCTGTCTTCTGGCTAGCATGGAGGAAGATGGTGGGTATGCTCTGTAGTGCCCTGTGGAGGCCCGGGGATCACGGCTTCCTGTTTCTGCTGCGCACTGTGAGATATTGAAGATGTGGCCTTAAACCTTACTCCGAAGATCATTCACAAGGATTTTGCAGGGTCAGGTTCATCTATGCATAGTACTAGAGCTGTGGAAGTGCTTGAAGGGGAAGAACTGTGTGTGGAAGTCCTGCCCTGATCACTGCCATTCCCTAGCTTTAAACTCAGGATCGTAGTGCTTTACTTTTTCCCCCGATTATTGGTTTTGTGAAAAAAAAAAAAAATCTTCAAGGTTTTTCTCTCTTACTAGCTCCTAACTTCCTGGCCTATCAGGCTGTGCTTCAGTAGGAGAAAATAGTTCAGAAAACAAGAGAAATGCTGATGTTTTATGAAATGGTACGACTAGAGCCACTGGTACCATGGAGCATTCTGGGAAAGCTTAAATTTGCTAATCATTCTAAAATGTTGGTGTTAACCCAATTTGTGCTCATTGAAATCTCTGGTAAAACTGCTATCAGATTCAGTGCAACTGGTGTTGTAAACTTCTCCCTGTGTGTGCACATGAGTGTGGTTTGAAAGCTGTGCAAGAGCAGCTACCTTCAGCACATGTGGCTTAAAGTGTAAGGTTGATCCCTTCAGCGAAATTACATCTATTTTTAAAAATAATTCTGCAATTTGTAAGCAGAGATTACAGCACTAATTTAGCAACCATGTAACAATTTAAATTGGACCAGAAAAGAGAAACTATAATTTAAAGATTTTTTTTTTTATGATACAAGTTTTCTTCTTTTTAAAGTAAAAAGCCCTTTATTCTTGTTTTTGTCAAGCAACGTATTGAATTTGAG